TACAGTATGTTTTGTTGTCAATGGAAGAGAAACAATTGAGACTGCAATTGTGTGTAAATGAGGCAGAATGTTAGATCATCATCCTGGGACTTGGTCACATATGGCAGCAGGGTCTAACATATTAGACAACACATAATGCTTCCAGTATCTTCCCAGGCGGTAGTACCTCCCTGTGTGGCAGAACAGGTAGCGAGCGAAGTAGTGCTTGTAGTGGTGCCACTTGTTTTTCTTGTTGATAATTTTCTTATTACGCTGAAACAAATTTCTTTCCAGTCGAAAAGCACAGGGCTTCCCGCAGTGTGGATAGTCTCTATGTAAAGGAATAATGCCGTGATCTTTAAACATTTGAAGGGTCTCGTTGTCTTTATCCCTAAATTCGCAAATGACGTCCATGTAAGACCGGCGACAACTTTCACATGACATGCTGAAAAACAAACTGTCTCGGGCGCAGGAAAAGCGCCTCAGCTAGCTAAGCAGGGCCTCATTACCGCCTGCAAGACAAACTAGTGCGCGCCTAGGTACGTAATTATCTGTGAAACGAAAAAATTGCACAACAAATTATTTATCATATCAGAACTCACTGATGAAAATAATGTAAGGAAATAAACAATAATGAAAATAACTCGTCGGTGGGTTTTTCCTATATATTAACTATTTTTTTATGTAATGCTAATAACATGATATTAAACACTGAAATGGAAACAACAGTGAATAGAACCTGACAATCTATTTATTTACTCTATCCCGCTTCACAATTCTCCTCCTGTGCCATTTTTGTTGTTTACCTCACTGAATTCCTTTTCAAGAGATATGTCCTAAATGATGGTGAACGCTTCCACGTATTCCTCCTCGCCATTGCGGATGTATATATCCACCTCAATATTAAGGTAAGTTGTTTAACACATAAATTAACACGATAATGCATAGAATCTAATAGAACCTGACCTAACAAACCCATAGGTTGGGTATGTTAGGTCAGGTTCTACTAGGATCTATGCATTGTCATTTCCATTTTTGTGTTTAATATCATGATAGTAGTGTGTTGAAAAAATTTCAACCAATTTGGACAATTCCTTCTGGTGACACACGTACCATGCAGACAGGCTCATGGGATGGCTGGAGGTGGAGCACCTACCAAATGGTGCGGCAAGCTGGTGTCCACCCTCAGGAGGCTTTTCAAACGGTCTGGTATACCTGAGGTTCTGTCGTGTGACTCGGGGACCAACTTGATGAGTGCCAAAATGTAGAAGTTCTTCAAAGACTGGTGTGTGACGCCCAAGGTGTCGTCGGTCTACTACCCACGGTCCAACGGCCGGGCTGAGGCCACAGTGAAGTCAGCTAAAAGACTATTGAGGGGCAACACAGGTCCAGGGGACTCTTAGACACACCACTGCAGGACGCCAACGCATTCCCGGCAGCACTACAATGGAGGTTCGACCTGACCGCCCACAACCTCCCGCCACTGGTATCAGGTCAGCGGGTATAAGTCCAGAACAAAGGAGTCGGGGGTGGTGGTGGAGTCACCGGCCCCCAGATAGTACCTGTTCCGTCTGGTTGGAAGAGGACGAATGACGATCGGGAATCGCCGCCACCTCCACCCCTCAATGCCCACCGCCGCGCCCGAAGCCACCCCTAACGTCACAACAGCACCCACCGAGGGACCCACACGGACAAGGTGCTCTCCCAGGCACCTTCAGGATTATGTCCCCTAAACGAGCACTGCCCCCATGTACCAATCATGTGTTAGTATTGTGTAATAATGGATCTATCATTTTGTATGTATTCAATTTGAAACTTTATCACTTGTGTATCATTTTGCTGAGTTTGGATGGGTTCACTGCAGTAGGGGTGTTGGGGTATGTGCCAGTTTGGCAACAGTGTTTGGGTCTGCCGACGGCGGAAGTTAAACTGTTAGTTACAACTCAACCTCCAAGCTGTGTGGACATCTCTGTACCCCCTCCCTTGTCACCTTTGCTATTAAACAGACCATGGACGCGGCCTTTCATTGTCCCCCAGGTTGGCACCCTAACACACCTATTTGGAAGTACTGTACTGTAGGTCAGAATCATTCATAACACATCACATCACATTCATAACACATCTGAACACTTGATTTCAACCTAACCTAACCTTAAACAACCTAACCTAACTTATATTATTTTCTATAAAAATGCCATTGAATTTATGTACTGTATATGTAATGTATTTTATGGGGCAAAGGGAGGCTGGGGAACATAACTCCCATATTTTATCTATTTCTTATGGGGATAATTTATTCCGTTAACGTTTTATCAGTTAAGAGTCGAGGTTTTCAGGAACGGAACCACGACGTTAAGCGAGGAATTACTGTTCAGTATATACCACAGAATGAGTGTTGACGCCACATCCCACTCTTTCCTTTATTTTCATATGGGAGAATTAAGGTTGAGCTGTGTGTGTTACACGGCCATTTACAAGAATGCATCTACAGCATAAATTGAGATGCAGCTGTAGTTGAATAATATTAACCAAGTGTTATTTTAGCACAGTACAATATGTTTTGGGGGACATTTTTATGTGGGAATGTGTCTCTAGTTACATAAAGGAAGTCTGAAGTATTATTTCACTAATATGTTTGACTTTCCTTCCCACAGATATGAACTGAAGAACAAATGGCAGTGGGAAGAGAAGCAGTAGACTGTGAGAACACTATGTTGGGTGCAGGTGTAAACAACAGTGGACATAGACAAAGTATTACCAACTGAACCAAAGAATTACAAGTAGACAAGAAATTATTCTTCCTTGTGGAAATATGTTTTGAAATAATTCAAAACTTGTGTATAGATTCACCCCCTCATAAGACTTTTGTCACATGTAGTAAAAGTTTACCAGCCATCACAAGTACAGTAGTATATCAGCCTGGGTATTATTGTTTACCAGCCATCACAAGTACACTAGTATATCAGCCTGAGTATTATTGTTTACATCAGACGAACTGTACATATAACAATAGTGTACAGTATATAATTTTTGTACACTTCCCTGTTGAGTGTTTTTATAGTGTATGTTGTAAGTCGTAAACAGTGTTTGTTAATGACAAGTATAGTTATATGTGTAACTCATTCTTTACACCATTTTTCACATTTAGTTCAAAGAGGTATAGAGGAACCTTGTTAATAATGGTGTAGTCACATCACAAACTGGATCTTCCATCACACTTACCTCCTCACTGTCCTCCCATCTCAGCATCATTACATCAGTGTCAGTAAATCACATTCACTAATTGATTTATGTTTCAGTTTTCATTGTCAAATATAATTAACAGTAACAAGACATTAATAGGTCTTGTAGGAGGAAACATTTTGCCAGTTAAGTGTCACTAAAACCTTTGAACACACAATACACACAGTTTGATAATGGAAGGTCACTCAAAGGAACAGTCAGAGTCTCCCAGAGAATTGTCTGTAAAATCACATCAAGTAACACATGTGAAAGATCATACAGGAGAGAAGCCATTTGAGTGTTCAGAATGTTTTAAAGGTTTTACAAGAAAAGATGCTTTAGTGCGACATATGAAACTTCATACAGGAGAGAAGCCATTTGAGTGTACAGAATGTTTTAAAAGGTTCTCCGTTAAATCTTCTCTCATAGATCATAAGAGAGTTCATACAGGAGAGAAACCTTACCAGTGTTCACAATGTCCTAAAAGGTTCTCACATAAATATTCTCTAGTATATCATCTGAGAGTTCATACAGGAGAAAAACATTATCAGTGTTCAGATTGTTTTAAAACGTTCTTCGATAAATCTTCACTCAATAAACATGAGAGAGATCATACAGGACAGAAACCTTATGAGTGTACAGAATGTTTTAAAAGGTTCTCAGTTAAATCTGCACTCAATGATCATCAGAGAGTTCATAGCGAAGAGAAACCTTTTCAGTGTTCAGAATGTTTAAAAGGATTTAAAAGACAAGGTGATTTAGATAAACATATGACACTTCATACAGGAGAGAAACCATTTGAGTGTTCAGAATGTTTTAAAAGGTTCTCATTTAAATTTTCACTTATAAGTCATCAGAAAATTCATACAGGAGAGAAACCATTTCAGTGTTCACAATGTAATAAAAGTTTCTCACAAAAATCTTCTCTCAGAATTCATAAGAGACTTCATACTGGAGAGAATCCATTTCAGTGTTCACAATGTCCTAAAAGTTTCTCACAAAAAAATTCTCTCATAATTCATGAGAGATTTCATACAGGAGAGAAACCTTATCAGTGTGCAAAATGTTTTAAAAGGTTCTCGCATAAAACTTCTTTCATGTATCATAAGAGAATTCATACAAGAGAGAAACCTTATCAGTGTTCACAGTGTATTAAAAGGTTCTCAGATAAATCTTCTCTCATAAATCATAAGAAAAGTCATACAGGAGAGAAACCTTATCAGTGTTCAGAATGTCATCAAGGCTTTTCTAAGAGGTATCTTCTAGTAAGACACAAGAAAGTTCACCCAGAAAAACCTTTCCACTGTGTAAGATGCATGAAAGACTTTATAGAGAAAGAGAGTTTAATATTACATGTAGAGAGATGTTACCAGACTGACCAAGTGGTCAACTCTCATCACTATGAAGGTGAAAGTTGCCAGGATTTGCACCATGACTTGAGCTTGTCTAGCCAACCAACAGTGGAGATGTGTGTTTCTGAAGGAGTGAAAAAGGAAACTAATTATGATCCACTCTCAGTCATTTGTGAGACAGAAGCTTCACCAGGGCCTGAGATAATTGACCAATCTTCTTTAAAGATGGAGTGCCTGGAAGAACTAGATATTGTTAAGGAAGAATTCTGAAACTGTTATTGTTATTGATAGTCATGGTAGACTCAACCTTGGTCGCTCTAAAATCAATCTTTACAAAATTGTGAGAGAAAATGTGACGTAACGGATGAAAATATTTACGACGCTACTGAGACAACTGAGTGACAGTATTCTTTCTGAAATTCATCTCTCCTTCCCCTCCCCTCTCTTCCTCTCCCCTCCCTTCCCTTCCCTTCCCTTCCCTTCCCATCCCCTCCCTTCCTCTCCCTTCCCATCCCTTCCCGTGCCCTCCCCGTCCCCTCCTTCCCTTCCCCTCCCCAGTAAAGATTGTTTTTTAACTGGCTGTACATTTATTAATAAAGTACACTGTATCCTCATTAATTTGGGTCATTATAATTCAAATTTTGGCCAAATTCATATGTTTATTTTTATTTGTTAATTAATTAAACAATTTGAATTGAAAATGAATTTGAAATAACCTACAGGTTTAAAAGTCTATTGTTATTGTAAATGCCTTAGTTAAGGACGTTCAACGTTACCGGCAAGTCGAAGGGAATGATTGAAACCCGTCTTTTGACGCATTCAGTATTTATTGATGTGGTCAAAACCTGCAGAGGAGAAGGCGTTCATAATATTACAAGGTGATCCATCTGATACATAATTAGTTAGTCTCACACAATTTTATCTTAATTACAATTTATTAAACATACTGACATAACACAAAGTTCATAACTCTATTAATCTTAGCTTCGCTTCATTCTGCATTGTCTTATTACTCCAGGTTAGGCAGAAACGAGCAGGCGTAATTAGTCAACAATATTTCAGTACTGAGGGGTATGTCATCACTTAGGCTGTACTTACAAGTGCGGGTCAATGCATATCAGTATGGTGTTCCAAGAGAAAACAGTATTGCGTAAATCGTCCCAGCACAAATTCTCGGACAGGAGAAGGCTGGTCTTCACAGCATCACTAGAGAGGGCGATCTGTCTCATGGAGGGGCGGGCAGCTACCGCCACCAGTCTAAAGCCCCGTCCACACGATTGAACAGTGCCCGGCGGACTTTGCCCGTTTACCGGGCAAAGCCTGTGTGTCGTCGTACACAAGGAGGTACTGGTTGGCAGCAGTCACACTCTGTCGCTGGTAGCTAGTAGGTGGTCGGCAGTAGCTGCTGCGGTACGATCACCATGGTGTGTCGCAGGACAGTTAAATCAAAGACTATAGCGCTGTGTATAATAATTGCTACAGTGTGCAAAAAGAAGAAAAAACAGAAAAGGGAATGCTGCAAGGAATGGTTATCTCAACGAAAAGTTAAGGGAAGTCGTGCCACGATTTTACGTGAACTGCAAGGTGAACATGAGAAAGTCTTCACTAACTACATGAGAATGGACCCCAACACCTTGAATAGACTTCTCGCAGGAAACGGTCAAACCACCAGGCAGACGGCCTTATCTGGTGATTTCGTTCGGGCACGGGCACCCTGTTGGTTTGCCCGTCAATTTTGCCCGAACAATGGGCATTAAGCGAGTGCCCGTCGGGCAGTGCTCGATCGTGTGGATGGGGCTTAAGACCGTCCACTCAGCAGAACCAGGACTAGTTTGTAAACACTTCTACATCTGGCGAGGTCACAGGTCGAAAGACTTAATGGCATCACACGCCAGCACTGTAGCTGAAGCCAGCGGCGATAACAATTATTATAAGAATATATTATGAAATAGATCAAGATGAATGAATTATAGGAATAGTTTATGAATTGTATTAAGATCCTGTATAAAACTACTCTTGGATGCATAGAAGTAGAGAGGGAGAAGGTGGCAGAGGAGGACAGCTCGCCACCTCTCAACCCCAGATGAGCTACTGTGCTGCAGTATAGTCCCAGCCTCTTGTTTACAGAGAGGTACACTGCTCTACCTAACACTGTTGCCAGCACTCACTGAGGCACTGTTGTTGTCACTACTCAAGAGGGTTGGTGCTTACTACAGGATCTGTCTTGAGCACTTAGTAAATAATATTGTAGCATATTTATCACAATTTAATAAATATTATTGTAGTGTATAATACATCTTCATATGCCCAGGTTTATTCGCTGATCAGTTGAGGCGCTCCGCATCAGAAGGGGTGAAGCGCCAAATTCAAAAAGCTGAGAAAAACATTTAAAGTTTTTCGAAGTTCAAACAACCATAATTTTATAGTTTTTTCAGCTTGGTGGTTTATTTTTTTATCGTGCAGCTCAATCCTTCTCCTAGTGAACTGTGATAACTGGAAGTTAGTACCGTTAATAATTATTATATCGCCAGTTGAATGGGAATAACTACCCATGATGTACAGTTGTTGGAGCTTCAAACCAACAATTATCGTGTTTTTCTGCAGAATTGTCTTATTATTGTGGGCTAATACTGTAAAACAAGTTAATGATCACCAAAAACAACACTCGTCTTACCCCCCCCCCCCAAAAAATAATAACTCGTTTCCTGTCAGTATTTATCTTTCCGTCCCTATTATTAGCCAAAGATTTATAATATTGTTAAGTATAATAATAATAAGGAAACACCACTACACTCATCCCTCCCATTAACCCCCCGACGTAATTGACATACGAATACAAAGGCGGAGAAAGTTTGCATAATCTTTGGTAAAAAACAGTATTATGACAATAATATTACAATCTTACTTTGTTTAGTTCCTTCGTTTTATTATACCTGAAGATCATAGTAACTTGAAGTTACGTAAATCCTGAGGAGTGCGTTTAACTTTAACGGCCTCGTCATAGGTCCGGTATTGATCAAAGTCTTTCTGCATTCTTTAAAAACCATCACATAGATTCTTCATCAACTAAATCATTGATAATTATTGGTACCTGCAACAGTTCAGTTTCAGTATAAGACTTGAGTTATGGGCTCACTTTCACTATCATTCGTTGGGTCAGGCTCACTTTCACTATCATTCGTTGGGTCAGGTTCACTTTCACTATCATTTGTTGGGTCAGGCTCACTTTCATTATCATTCGTTGGGTCAGGTTCACTTTCACTATCATTCGGTGGGTCAGGCTCACTTTCACTCATTCGTTGGGTCAGGCTCTCTTTCACTATCATTCGTTGGGTCAGGCTCACTTTCACTATCATTCATTGGGTCAGGCTCACTTTCACTCATTCGTTGGGTCAGGCTCACTTTCACTATCATTTGTTGGGTCAGGCTCACTTTCACTCATTCGTTGGGTCAGGCTCACTTTCACTATCATTCGTTGGGTCAGGCTCACTTTCATATGGGAGAATTAAGGTTGAGCTGTGTGTGTTACACGGCCATTTACAAGAATGCATCTACAGCATAAATTGAGATGCAGCTGTAGTTGAATAATATTAACCAAGTGTTATTTTAGCACAGTACAATATGTTTTGGGGGACATTTTTATGTGGGAATGTGTCTCTAGTTACATAAAGGAAGTCTGAAGTATTATTTCACTAATATGTTTGACTTTCCTTCCCACAGATATGAACTGAAGAACAAATGGCAGTGGAAAGAGAAGCAGTAGACTGTGAGAACACTATGTTGGGTGCAGGTGTAAACAACAGTGGACATAGACAAAGTATTACCAACTGAACCAAAGAATTACAAGTAGACAAGAAATTATTCTTCCTTGTGGAAATATGTTTTGAAATAATTCAAAACTTGTGTAAAGATTCACCCCCTCATAAGACTTTTGTCACATGTAATAAAAGTTTGCCAGCCATCACAAGTACAGTAGTATATCAACCTGAGTATTATTGTTTACCAGCCATCACAAGTACAGTAGTATATCAGCCTGAGTATTATTGTTTACCAGCCATCACAAGTACAGTAGTATATCAGCCTGAGTATTATTGTTTACCAGCCATCACAAGTACAGTAGTATATCAGCCTGAGTATTATTGTTTACCAGCCATCACAAGTACAGTAGTATATCAACCTGAGTATTAGTGTTTACCACCCATCACAAGTACAGTAGTATATCAGCCTGAGTATTATTGTTTACCAGCCATCACAAGTACAGTAGTATATCAGCCTGAGTATTATTGTTTACCAGCCATCACAAGTACAGTAGTATATCAGCCTGAGTATTATTGTTTACTGTACATCAGAGGAACTGTACATATAACAATAGTGTACAGTATATAAATTTTGTACACTTCCCTGTTGAGTGTTTTTATAGTGTATGTTGTAAGTCATAAACAGTGTTTGTTAATGACAAGTATAGTTATATGTGTAACTCATTCTTTACACCATTTTTCACATTTAGTTCAAAGAGGTATAGAGGAACCTTGTTAATAATGGTGTAGTCACATCACAAACTGGATCTTCCATCACACTTACCTCCTCACTGTCCTCCCATCTCAGCATCATTACATCAGTGTAAGTAAATCACATTCACTAATTGATTTATGTTTCAGTTTTCATTGTCAAATATAATTAACAGTAACAAGACATTAATAGTTCTTGTAGGAGGAAACAGTTTGCCCTTTAAGGGTCACTAAAACCTTTGAACACAGAATACACACAGTTTTATAATGGAAGGTCACTCAGAGGAACAGTCGGAGTCTCCCAGAGAATTGTCTGTAAAATCACATCAAGTAACACATGTGAAAGATCATACAGGAGAGAAGCCATTTGAGTGTACAGAATGTTTTAAAAGGTTCTCCGTTAAATCTTCTCTCATAGATCATAAGAGAGTTCATACAGGAGAGAAACCTTATCAGTGTTCACAATGTCCTAAAAGGTCCTCACATAAAAATTCTCTCATAATTCATGAGAGAATTCATACAGGAGAGAAACCTTATCAGTGTGCAAAATGTTTTAAAAGGTTTTCACATAAAAGTTCTTTAGTGTATCATAAGAGAATTCATACAGGAGAGAAACCTTATCAGTGTTCACAGTGTATTAAAAGGTTCTCAGATAAATCTTCTCTCATACATCATAAGAAAACTCATACAGGAGAGAAACCTTATCAGTGTTCAGAATGTCATCAAGGCTTTTCTAAAAGTTCTAACCTAGTAAGACACAAGAAAGTTCACTCAGAAAAACCTTTTCACTGTGTAAGATGCATGAAAGACTTTATAGAGAAAGAGAGTTTAATATTACATGTAGAGAGATGTTACCAGACTGACCAAGTGGTCAACTCTCATCACTATGAAGGTGAAAGTTGCCAGGATTTGCACCATGACTTGAGCTTGTCTTGCCAACCAACAGTGGAGATGTGTGTTTCTGAAGGAGTGAAAAAGGAAACTAATTATGATCCACTCTCAGTCATTTGTGAGACAGAAGCTTCACCAGGGCCTGAGATAATTGACCAATCTTCTTTAAAGATGGAGTGCCTGGAAGAACTAGAATTTGTTAAGGAAGAATTCTGAAACTGTTATTGTTATTGATAGTCATGGTAGTCTCAACCTTGGTCGCTCTAAAATCAATCTTTACAAAATTGTGAGAGAAAATGGGACGTAACGGATGAAAATTTTATGATGCTACTGAGACAACTGAGTCGCAGTATTCATTCTGAAATTCATCGCCTCGTCCCCTCCCCTCCCTTCCCTTCCTCTCCCTTCCTCTCCCTTCCCTTCCCTTCCTCTCCCATCCCATCCCTTCCCGTGCCCTTTCCGTCCCCTCCTTCCCTTCCCCTCCCCAGTAAAGATTGTTTTTTAACTGGCTGTACATTTATTAATAAAGTACACTGTATCCTCATTAATTTGGGTCATTATAATTCAAATTTTGGCCAAATTCATATGTTTATTTTTATTTGTTAATTAATTAAACAATTTGAATTGAAAATGAATTTGAAATAACCTACAGGTTCAAAAGTCTATTGTTATTGTAAACGCCTTAGTTAAGGACGTTCAGGTTACGGGCAAGTCGAAGGGAATGATTGAAACCCGTCTTTTGACGCATTCAATATTTATTGATGTGGTCAAAACCTGCAGAGGAGAAGGCGTTCATAATATTACAAGGTGATCCATCTGATACATAATTAGTTAGTCTCACACAATTTTATCTTAATTACAATTTATTAAAAATACTGACATAACACAAAGTTCATAACTCTATTAATCTTAGCTTCGCTTCATTCTGCATTGTCTTATTACTCCAGGTTAGGCAGAAACGAGCAGGCGTAATTAGTCAACAATATTTCAGTACCGAGGGGTATGTCATCACTTAGGCTGTACTTACAAGTGCGGGTCAATGCAGATCAGTATGGTGTTCCAAGAGAAAACAGTATTGCATAAATCGTCCCAGCACAAATTCTCGGACAGGAGAAGGCTGGTCTTCACAGCATCACTAGAGAGGGCGATCTGTCTCATGGAGGGGCGGGCAGCTACCGCCACCAGTCTAAAGTCCCGTCCACACGATCGAACAGTGCCCGGCGGACTTTGCCCGTTTACCGGGCAAAGCCTGTGTGTCGTCGTACACAAGGAGGTGCTGGTTGGCAGCAGTCACACTCTGCCGTTGGTAGCTAGTAGGTGGTCGGCAGTAGCTGCTGCGGTACGATCACCATGGTGTGTCGCAGGACAGTTAAATCAAAGACTATAGCGCTGTGTATAATAATTGCTACAGTGTGCAAAAAGAAGAAAAAATAGAAAGGGGAATGGTGCAAGGAATGGTTATCTCAACCAAAAGTTAGGGAAAGTCGTGCCACGATTTTACATGAACTGCAAGGTGAACATGAGAAAGACTTCACTAACTACATGAGAATGGACCCCAACACCTTCTATAGACTTCTCGCAGGAAACGGTCCAACCACCAGGCAGACGGCCTTATTTGGTGATTTCGTTCGACCACGGGCACGGGCACTCCGGTGGTTTGCCCGTCAATTTTGTCCGAACAACGGGCATTTAGCGAGTGCCCGTCGGGCAGTGCTCGATCGTGTGGATGGGGCTTAAGACGGTCCACTCAGCAGAACCAGTACTAGTCTGTAAACACTTCTACATCTGGCGAGGTCACAGGTCGAAAGACTTAATGGCATCACACGCCAGCACTGTAGCTGAAGCCAGCGGCGATAACAATTATTATAAGAATATATTATGAAATAGATCAAGATGAATGAATTATAGGAATAGTTTATGAATTGTATTAAGATCCTGTATAAAACTACTCTTGGATGCATAGAAGTAGAGAGGGAGAAGGTGGCAGAGGAGGAGGACAGCTCGCCACCTCTCAACCCCAGATGAGCTACTGTGCTGCAGTATAGTCCCAGCCTCTTGTTTACAGAGAGGTACACTGCTCTACCTAACACTGTTGCCAGCACTCACTGAGGCACTGTTGTTGTCACTACTCAAGAGGGTTGGTGCTTACTACAGGATCTGTCTTGAGCACTTAGTAAATATTATTGTAGCATATTTATCACAATTTAATAAATATTATTGTAGTGTATAATACATCTTCATATGCCCAGGTTTATTCGCTGATCAGTTGAGGCGCTCCGCATCAGAAGGGGTGAAGCGCCAAATTCAAAAAGCTGAGAAAAACATTTAAAGTTTTTCGAAGTTCAAACAACCATAATTTTATAGTTTTTTCAGCTTGGTGGTTTATTTTTTTATCGTGCAGCTCAATCCTTCTCCTAGTGAACTGTGATAACTGGAAGTTAGTACCGTTAATAATTATTATATCGCCAGTTGAATGGGAATAACTACCCATGATGTACAGTTGTTGGAGCTTCAAACCAACAATTATCGTGTTTTTCTGCAAAATTATCTTATTATTGTGGGCTAATACTGTAAAACAAGTTAATGATCACCAAAAACAACACTCGTCTTAGCCCCCCCCCCCCAAAAAAAAATAATAACTCGTTTGCCTGTCAGTATTTATCTTTCCGTCCCTATTATTAGCCAAAGATTTATAATATTGTTAAGTATAATAATAATAAGGAAACACCACTACACTCATCCCTCCACCAATAACCCCCTCCGTAATTTACATACGAACACAAAGGCGGAGAAAGTTTGCATAATCTCTGGTAAAAAACAGTATTATGACAATAGTACAGTGAGTTCTGCTATAACGCGTGTTTTGATAACGCGAATTTGCTCTAACGCGATTTATGAATTAGGACCGATATTTGTATAACGCGAACGCTTGTTTGCTATAACGCGATTTTCTCTTACTATTTCTCCAATTTTGTGGTATTAACTGTGAATATAGTAAAGAAGAATATCAACAAGAAGCGTTCTGGTGATAGAATTCCCGGTGATGATCGTAAAAGAAAGGATATAACACTTGAAGAGAAGCTCGATTTTATCAACCTCAAAATCACCCTTCTCCCCCATCAAGTAAAGTGTTACATTTACTGTATGATTTCATTATTAGATATGAATGTAACATTTATTTAGACTGTGCTATCCTTTGTGTTAGGCTAACTACTAAATTTTTTCGATTTCGAGTAATCTGCACCTAACCCTATTTTCTCCATAAGCCCTGTTATTTCTATTACGCGATTTTCTATAACACGACATTTTACAAGAACACAATTATCGCGTTATAGCAGAACTACCTGTATTACAATCTTACTTTGTTTAGTTCCTTCGTTTTATTATACCCGAAGATCATAGTAACTTGAAGTTACGTAAATCCTGAGGAGTGCGTATAACTTTAACGGCCTCGTCATATTAGGTCAGGTATTGATCAAAGTCTTTCTGCATTCTTTAAAAACCGTCACATAGATTCTTCATCAACTAAATCATTGATTATTGGTGCTGGCAACAGTTCAGTTTCATTATAAGACTGAGTTATGGGCTCACTTTCACACTCATTCGTTGGGTCAGGCTCACTTTCACACTCATTCGTTGGGTCAGGCTCACTTTCACTCATTCGTTGTGTCAGGCTCACTTCACACTCATCAGGGTCACTTTCACTATCTGCCCACTTTCACTCATTCTGTTAATCAGGCTCACTTTCACTCATTCGTTGGGTCAAGCAAGCTTCCACTTTCACTATCATTCGTTGGGTCCGCATTCGTTACAGGCCCACTACTCATCATTCGTTGTCAGGCTCACTTTCACTATCATCTGTTGGGTCAGGGCTCCTTTCACTATCATTTCTGTTGGGTCAGGCTCACTTTCACTATCATTCGTTGGGTCAGGCCTCACTTTCACCATCATCTGTTGGGTCAGGCCCACTTTCACACTCATATCTTGGGTCAGGCTCACTTTCACTATCATTCGTTGGGTCAGGCTCACTTTCTGTCACTATCATCATCTGTTGGGTCAGGCTCACTTTCCTATCATCATTGGGTCAGGCCCACTTTCACTATCATTCGTTGGGTCAGGCCCTTTCATCATCTGCTGGGTCAGGCCCACTGCACCATCATCTGTTGGGTCAGGCTTCACTTTCTATCATTTCACCATCATGGCAGGGTCACTTTCACCATCATTTGCTGTTGGGTCAGGCTCACTTTCACTATCATTCAAGGGGTCAGGCTCACTTTCACTCATCATCTGTTGGGCAGGCCACTTTCACCATCATCTGCTGGGTCAGGCTGACTTTTCACCATCATTCGTTGGGTCAGGCTCACTCTTCACTATCATCATCTGTTGGGTCAGGCTCACTTTCACTATCATTCGTTGGGTCAGGCTCACTATCATTCACAGGCTCACTTTTACATCATCTGCTGGGTCAGGTCCCACTTTCACCATCATCTGTTGGGTCAGGCTCATCTCTTCACTGCCATCATTCACTCATCAGTCAGGCCCACTTCACTCATCATCTGTTGGGTCAGGCTCCACTCACTCATCCAGGCTCACTTTCACTATCATCTGTTGGGTCAGGCCCACTTTCACTGTCTCTGTTGGGTCAGGCTCACTTTCACTATCATTCGTTGGGTCAGGCTCCTTCCACTTTCTGTTGTCAGGCTCATCATCTGCTGGGTCAGGCCCACTTTCACTATCATCTGTTACTCAGGCCACTTTCACTCATCATTCGTTGGGTCAGGCTCACTTTCACATCTGTTGGGTCAGGCTCACTTCACTCATCATTATCAGGCCCTTTCACCATCATCTGCTGGTCAGGCCTCACTTTCACTCATCATTCGTTGGGTCAGGCTCACTTTCACTATCATTCGTTGGGTCAGGCTCAATTTCACCATCACTTCTTCTATCATTCGTTGGGTCAGGCTCACTTTCACTATCATTCGTTGGGTCAGGCTCACTTTCACTATCATTCGTTGGGTCAGGCTCACTTTCACTATCATTCGTTGGGTCAGGCTCACTTTCACTATCAAGGTTAATGCATGTCTCGTCACTGTCCACTTGTACCTCCTCACAGTCTTTATGTTCTTGTTGTGATACATTAGTGTCACTGTTTGTGTTACCATTAGACTCACTTTCATCGTTTTCATCTTCACTTTCTTCGTCATTATTGCCGCCGGTGCATGTCATGTAACTCTGTACCGGATCACAGTCTGCAAAAAGGTCTTGTGATGCATAGCAGTCACTTTTTGTAATTTGAATATACTCAGTTTCATCTATTTCAAGCTCACTTTCACCGTCATTATCATCGGCAATGCTTGCCACATTGTCTTTTAACTCGTCATAGTCGGCAAAAAGATCTTCGGATGCTTTGTAGCACGCTAAAAAGTTATTCTGTACGGTCAAAGTGTTATTGTCATTATGATAATCACTGTAAACGCCTTCCGGGCATTTAAAGGTTAATCAGACTCTTCACGTTAAATCGAACGTTATAATTCGGTCAAACCTGTTGAGTACAATTCATTTTAGTATTTTAAATAAATCATACATAGGCAATCATACATAAATGTTTAATGCAATATATATTTACATAAC